AGCTCTCAACAAGAAGACGGTAAAGGCAAAAAAAACCGAGAGCCAAAAAGACAAGACTAAAGAAGAGACTAAAAAAAAAAGAGAGACGCTCAGGACCGCGGAACCGTGGTTTATATAGCGGTTTTTCCTAATTAGTGGGATTCAAATTTAGGTGGTGGGATGACTTTCGGGATTTTGGATTGGTCGAGATTATGGGGGAGGAAAGAAGTCGGTTGGCATCAACAACTGTCGTCTTTGTTTATGACTTTCCTAAATTTATGGGGAAATGCACGTGCACCGATTAAGACGAGGGTACGTGCACTGTCGGCACTCGCCCGTCAAACACTTTTCCTGGACTTCGCATGTCACATTTATATTTTATGGTCGCGGACATCGTGAGAATCGTCCGCGACTTGCTTGTCAAAACAAAAAGAAATGTTTAGGCGCTAGCACTGACATTAATTGCCGTTTTTAATGGCGCTGTCCAAGTGAAGTGTCATCGGCGGTGCATTAGCTCCCTGCGTTCACCGATTCTAATTTTATTTTGTTTGGCAGACACTAGAGTCATTTGTTTTAAATTTTTTTCATGGGAAAAGATTTTTATTACCTTTCTTAGAAGTCCTAGGGGTTTGATAACCCCTAGGTCTCCGTGAGAAAGAGAAAAGAGGCAGCGTGAGTCCGCTGGACGTAACACTATTATGTTTTATGTTGCACCATTTATTATGTATTACTATTTTTCATTTCATATATCGTACATTTATATACGTATTTGATATCTGTATACCAAAAACGAAGATGGAAGGGATAATAAAAAATATATTTATACATTTATATTGATATATTTGCTATATCTATACAATATATTTACACAATATATCTATACAATATATTTACACATTTATATTGATATATTTGCTATATCTATACAAAATATATGAATCAAAATTTTTATCAAATGACATTATTTTTGTGTATCCACGAATTGTGCGATCCATCAAATCCCAGCCACTTGACGTACACCTTGTCTCCCTTCCTGCGCAGTACTTTCTCCACGAGATACACGTCCGGATGAGTAGCGCGATGCAACTCGTGCTCGTAGAACGCTCCAGAGATAAATTTTCCGCGATAGTCCTCGAATAAATAAGTTACGGGATGAGTATGCTGCACTTTAACGATCGTAAACACCTCGGTGGTCCAATTCGGCGTGTAACCCTTCTCAAAAACCGTCTTGTACTTGCTCACGCGTACCGAATCGCCTACTTTGAATTTTGCCGGACCCGCGATCTTTATCGCACTGTACACTGTGCCCAAGAGTCTTTCGGCGATCGCGGGAGTTACGTCGGCGGGTCGCATGCCGATGGTGCGATGCTTGCGCGCGTTGTAATTTGACACGAGACGCGGCAGCTCATCGACCCACTTGTAATTGCCGTTGAGCGTAAACATCTTCCACATATCATTCTTGAGCGTGCGATTAAACCGCTCGACCACTGACGCTTTTAACGTCGAATACGTGGAATAATGATTAACGTCATGTTTTTTCAAGATTTTCTGCACATCGGCGTTACGTACTTGCTCAACACATCGATGACGGTGAGTATGTAGTGGTGACCTCTGTTGAGGCTCGAGTACGGACCCATCTCAACTATATCAGCCTGCCACAGATCGTCGTATCCCCGGACTATGACGCGCCTTCGCGGAAAATTTCTTCTTGCAGGAGCGTGCAATTCCTCAACGAGTCGACGTCTCTCGGAGCTAATTTTTTTGTTTTTATCGGATTTCTTTTTCATGATTCGACGCGTAATACACAAGAAAATAATGTATTTTTTCTCGCTGTTGTCACTCGACTGCCTCGTTTCATTGATATACGATTTAATTTATAATAAGACCGGCTTCGCGGAGTTCCTCAATGATCGACAGCATCTCGTTGTCGTGAGCGTTGTTGCCCGCTCGGTGCGAAGCGTCGAGCAATTGTAGACGATCCACCAGCTGGTTAGGATCGTCCCAGTGCACGTAATCAATTGCGTTATCGTTTAACGTCATTGCATGAGGTAATCATTTTCCAGATTTCTTACTCTGTTTCTTGGGTGTGACCAGCATCAACGGCGCGATTATGTATTTGTACTTGTATCCCCTGTTGCTCAATAATCGACCTTGCGAATGATGCTTGTGTTTGTGCGCGTTCGTCGCCAGCAGCATGCTCTTGTACTTGTTCATATCGTCTTCCGTGTAGAGGGCATCGTCGGGCATTCTCTTGAAAATCAACTCGTAAAGACCGGGGGTACCGGCGTATCGTACGCCGTCAATAATGCGCAGTGCGCAGTAGTACTTTTTTACAAGAGTATACCCGCATCTCGATATGATACAAAATGCAGGAAACGAGTATGCGTCATGAAACTAACTATAGTTAGTTAAATAAAGTTATTCATGAATAACTATATTAAAAAAAAGTATTTTCAGAGGCTCCATGAGCACACTCTGATCAAGTTAAGAGTGATGAATTCCATTCGCATACGCCTCTTTATAGAGATCTGCGTCATTTTCTCCTTATGGAAAACGAGCCCATCTCGCGGTGGTACTGCGTACTACGCCGCTTGCTTGGCGGCGAACGGCACCGCGGCGTCCGTAGTATACGTACGCCTATAGCGTACATATACTCTGCCAGGCAAGCGGCATAGTACGCAATATCGCCGCGAGATGGACTCAGTTTCCGTAAGGAGAAAATGACGTGGATCTCTATATAAAGGTATATGCGAATCGAGTTCGTCACTTACTCTTAGCTTGATCAGAGTGTGCTCATGGAGCCTCTGAAAGTACTTTTTTAAATAGAGTTATTCATAATTAGTTTAATTAGTAAAATGGAAAATTTTCATTAAAATAGTACTTATAATCGATAAAACTGATATTGTAAAATATACCAAAAACTGCTTTCGCTTTGTCAATTAATAAATAATTCATATACCTATTTAAAAATAAATTATGTACAATA